GGGAGGTTGGGCGGTGAGAAGGGAGGCGGGGGCGACAGCTCAGCGCTGGCCTCGTCCCCCAGCCTGGCAGCCGATCTGCCACCTCAAGACCTCGGAGCCGCGCTCGAACCCTCCTCTCCCCGGAAACGCACGCCTCCCGGGTTACCTAGTAACGACGCCCCCGGTTGCATAGCAACGAGGATCCAAGGTCTCCAGTTTGTTTCTCCCGCCACGCGACGACGGACCCCTCCCCACTCGGGCTCTCCAGGCCTTGCGTCTCCACCCTGGACCCTCCTGCAGCAGCTGCCTCCTCCCTGTTCTACGTGTTGCCCCCCAGCCCCGGTCTAGGCCCGCACTCACCCGGTTCCAGCCACCGCTATCCTTCACGTGCGACTCCGCTGAACCGCGCACCAAACCCGCGCCTCAACTCCGGGGCGTTGGTTTATCGTCTGCGCGTGCGCAAGGCGGGATGCTCCCAGCCGGGCCGTTTTTCCCCCACAGCCTAGCCGGTCCCGTGAGCGCATGCGCCCTATTCTTTCTATTACGTTCTGTTTGGTTCCCCACCTCCCGCCCCCCAGCAAGCATTCCCACCGACAGAAGAATGGGGTCGGAAGTTCAAGCTGGGAACGGAAGTTTCTAGCAGAAAAGGGAAAGAAGTGACTCTATCTGGGCTGTAGAGTGTGTAAACTGGAATTTTGAAATCAGGGTCGAAAATATCCGCCTCTTCAATCGCTCGGCATTTTGGGCAATGTAGTTCTTGAGCTACAAATGCTCCTCTTGGGGCATTGTGGGAAATGTAGTTCTAGGGCAGGGCGCTCCCCAGTACCTGGGCTGGTGAGAAACTTTTCGCGCTAATAAGGTACAAAGGGAAAAGGTGTTAGAGGAACAGTTAGAGGGACACGACGCCGGGAAAATGTATCTGCTTCCTCAGAGAGCAAATGCACAGCCGAACTGTGCAGATGGCCCCCAAGTGTTAGCTCAGAAGTTTAGAGAAGGGAACCAACCCACACGCCACATTTCTACCCCAAAGGTAGCACTTTGAAGGGGACCCACCAGGCATTCGGAGTGAGGTGATCCCTTGCCTGCTTTGTGATCCTGGGCACGTCGCTTCATTTCCCTGGGCTTCAGTTGCTTGACTTGAAAGAAGGTACTAAAAATACTACTTCACAGTAGGTGTGAAATTTCAGTGAACTAGAGTCAACATTAAAAAAAAAAAAATCATCAAAGTCCGAATGTTTTTATCACCATCACTGACTGTTATAGGACTGATGTTGGAGGTAGGGTCCAGGGGTCCTGACAGTCGGCCTCAACCCGCTCAGTCCTATTACCAGGTTCTTTTTTTTTTTTTTAAAATTAAAAGATGACTGGTAAGGGGATCCTAACCCTCGACTTGGTGTTGTCAGCACCATCCTCACGCAGTGAGCTAACCGGCCACCCCTATATAGGGGTCTGAACCTGTGGTCTTGGTGTTATCAGCACCAAACTCTCACAAGTGAGCCATGGGCTGGCCCTGCCTTACCAGGTTCTTGACTCTGCTGCAGGAAAGAATTCAAGGGCAGAGTCACAGTAAAAAGTGAGAACAAATTTAACGTAAGAAATACAGGTTCCACAGAGAGAGAGTGTGGCATAGCTCCAGAGACTGAGCAGGGCCCACACCAAGTTTAACACAAAAGNTTATTTAACCTGAGTTTTAGTCTTCTCAAATATAAAAGGGAGTTGTTATGTTTATTTATTTATTTTTTGGAAAGATGACCGGTAGAGGGATCTTAACCCTTGACTTGGTGTTGTCAGCACCATGCTCTCCCAGGTGAGCTAACCGGCCATCCCTATATAGGGATCTGAACCCGTGGCCTTGGTGTTATCAGCACCACACTCTCCCAAGTGAGCCACAAGCCAACCCTAGTTGTTGCAAGTTTAGATGTTTCCTGTAAGTACTTCGTGAATTTTAAACACCTATAGAAATACTGCAGCACACAATTGCCAATATACCACTCACTACAGTTAGCAGTTTATCCGCCTGCCTCCTGCATTAGACTGAGCACCTCCCGTTCAGATTTGACACCTAATTTCTTGGAATCCCCAGCGACAAGCACAGAACGATGATTAATAAATGCTTGTTAAATGAATATTAGAGGCCCACCCAAGAAGCCATGAGGGTAAGAAATGTAGAGACATGGAGAGGTGGGGAGAGGGAAATTAGTAAAATAGTTGATCCAAATATACAGCAGCCACCGCAGAAGCACAGCTGAGTCGAAAGGAAGATCCTAAACGGGGCGAAGCCGCCACTGAGGAGAATGAAGTCAGCGTCCTGGCAGGTCGGGGGCAGCCGCCGCTAAAGCCCTGACAGCTGCTGCCCAGCAACTGTTTGGGGGCAGGGCGAAGGCAAAGGGGCAGCTTCCCAGCCGCATCGCGCCCTCCCCGGGGCCCAGCCTCCCGCAGGCAGGGTGTCGGTGGCATGTGCTATTTCGAACAGCGCGTCCCGTGCCAAGCGGTGCAGAGTGGCGTCGCCGGCAAGAGACGTGGCGCAGCCCGTGAGTTCGAGGTACCCCGAGGGGCTCGAACTGAGGCCGCGGGAGGTTGGGCGGTGAGAAGGGAGGCGGGGGCGACAGCTCAGCGCTGGCCTCGTC